CCTGGAGAGGTCACAACCTTTCTAAGGGACAGCGGCTCATGCTTCAGGTGTAGGCCGCCTGATTCCATTTCCTTAGAGGATGGCAGAAATGCAGATTTCCTGATTTATAACTTTCAGAAACTCTATCTTTCAAAAACTTCAAGTTGGGATCTGTGAAGTTAGAAGCCAGTTGGTGGTTTTCCTCAGAGAGATGGGGACAACCAGGAGGAGACATGAGCATGATTGCCTGGAATGTTCTGGGGCTTCATCTAGGCTGGTTCCATGGGTGTGTGTAGTTTGTGAACATTTAATGGACCCTTTCCTCTCAGATAAAAAGGTAAAAGATAAATTAATGTCAAAATAATTGCAGACTGGCTAAAGTATGTCTCTAGCTTCAATTTTTTTGTTTTTTTTAAGATTTTTATTTACTTATTTGACACAGAGAGAGCACAAGCAGGGGGAACAGCAGAGGGAGAGGGAGAAGCAGACCCCTGCTGAGCAGGGAGCCCGACATGAGGCTCTATCCCAGGAACCTGAGATCATGACCTGAGTGGAAGGCAGATGCTTAACAACTGAGCCACCCAGGTGCCTCACTAGCTTTAATTTGATAGGCGGGACACCATTCCATCTTTTGAAATAAGACCAAAAATGAAGTTAGGCTGTCAGCATGGGAGGGCAGTTCCCAGGGGCCTAGAGTGATTAACAGGAAGTCAGAAATCTACTTCAGAGCTTTCCAGCAGCCAAAGCAAAATGGAAAATGAAAAATATAATAATTTATATGGTATGCCAGGCCAAGGAGAGAAAAAGATAAATGAATACCCCAGAAAACCTTCCTGGGCACCCGCCCAGCCAGCCAGATCAGCCTAATCAACCGTGGTGACCAATGGGGTGACATGTCACAGTCAGATCACCCTCACATCCAACATCTGGCTTATTTTATGTTTTTTGGCTTGCTGGGCTGGGAAATCTCTTTTTCATGCAAAAGTAAATATGCTATATGTATATAACTAATATCTAACATCTAATATCGGGGTATCTAATATCTAATATCGTGTAATATCTAAACTCGATTATTGCCAGTACCTCCCACACCGCCAGGGTGATTTCTTCTCGGCCTCCCGCCTCCCCATGAGAGGTCATGTTATCCTAAATTTTGTGTTTTAAATTCCTTTGGCTTTTTAAAGATTATTTATTTATTTATTTGAGAGAGAGGGAGAGAAAGCACAGCAGGGGGAAGGACAGAGGGAGAGAGAGAGAAGCAGACACCCCACTGAGCAGGGAGCCCGATGGGGGACTCGATCCCAGGACTCTGGAATCATGACCTGAGCCGAAGGCACACGCTTAACCGACTGAGCCACCCAGGTGCCCTTATTATTTCTCTTATTCTTTTTTTTTTTTTTAAAGATTTTATTTATTTATTTGAGAGAGAGAATGAGAGACAGAGAGCATGAGAGGGAGGAGGGTCAGAGGGAGAAGCAGACTCCCCGCCGAGCAGGGAGCCCGATGCGGGACTCGATCCCGGGACTCCAGGATCATGACCTGAGCCGAAGGCAGTCGCCCAACCAACTGAGCCACCCAGGCGCCCTATTTCTCTTATTCTTAATTGAGCTAACAGATAACAGTTCAAAGAATAATACTAAGAATGCATTTGCTTCTGCATGGTAATATATATGCATATAACATATATGCATGCTGATGCATACTTGCAGATAAGTGAAGTAAGTGAGGGAGGGAGGAATGAGGATTATTTGCATACTCTTCCCTGTACAATACAGCAATCACAATCCTTGGTATTCACCCAAAGGAGATGACGACTTATGTCCACACAAAAACCTGCACACAGACGTTTACAGCAGCTTTATTGATGATTGCCAAAACTTGGAAGCAACCAAAATGTTCTTCGGTGGGTAAATGAAAAAATCAACAGTGGCCCATCCAGATAATGGAATATTGTCCAGTGCTAAAAATAAATGAGTTATAAAGCCTTGAAAAGACATTGGAGGAACTTTAAATGCAAATTACTAAGTGAAAGAAGCTCATCTAAAAAAAAGCTACGTACTGTATGACCCAAACTACATGATATCGTGAGAAAGGCAAGACCGTAGAGAAGGTAGAGAGATGAGTGGTTGCCAGGGGTTGGGGGGTGGGCACAAGGGAAGAATGAGAGCAGGTGGAGCCCAGAGGATTCTGAGGTAGTGGAAATACTCTGTATAGTACCATAAGGATGGAGAACATGTCATTATACATCTGTCCAAACCCATAGCACGTCCAACACAAAGAGCAAACCCTACCGTTAACTATGGACTTTGGGGGATTACATGTTAGTATAGGTTCGTCAATTGTAACAAATGTGGCACTCTGGTGGGGGATGTTGAGATGGGAGAGGCTCTGCCTGTGTGGGGTGGGGGGTATGTGGGAAATCTCTGTTCCCCTCAATTTTGCTGTGAACTTAAAACTGCTCTGAAAAAAAGTTTGGTTTTTTTGAAAGGCAGATTGCCACATGCAGCACCTCATTTGGATGGGTCTGGAGTCTTGGAAGCGTGACTACCCCACGTTCTCCTACAAAGGAGAAAGCTTGAGAGCCTGTTTGGAGGTTCTAGCAGCGGACAGTGGCTACTCGTATACCCTTGACTGAAGAATGATCCTCCTCTATTGGGGAAAGTCACCCTCTTCGACCAGGCATGCAGCTCTAGGAGGGATGCACACAGAGCGGGGAGGGAGGAAGGGGGCACCCGCCCAGCCAGCCAGATCAGCCTAATCAACCCTGGTGACCAATGGGGTGACAGATGTCACAGTCAGATCGCCCTCACATCCAACACAGTGGATCATTAGGAGACTGGGAGCAGCCACCACAATAAAGAGTTAAAATCTCCATTTCAGTTTTCAGACCTAGAACCCATTCAATGAGGAGAGGCTGGCTCCCTTGGAAGATGGCCTTGTAACACCATGGCAAGTGTAAATGGCAATGATGCTCCCAGTAGTCCCCCCTGCCGCCCCCACCGCCGCCAACAGTAAGAGCTATTTAGTTGGGCAACTTTACACTGAGAAAAGGGCAGTACCAAATATTTTGGGGACACAGGGTCCAAGTTTTGATATGATACCTGGAAACCTAAAGCATTACTTTGTCCCTTCGTTATAGTAGGGGCAGGTGGGGACCAGGTAATCAGTCATCCTGGCCTCAGTCCAGCTCATAGCTGCTCCCTTGGGGTCCATGGGCTCTCCCAGGGGACATTTTCCCTGTCCCCAGATGTATAATTTGAAATGGACAAACTTGAGGGTCGGCAGAAACCCTATAGTGGCCTGCATAGTGAGGTATCATGGTGGGGAAGGCCCCATGCAATGCCCTGGACACGTTCCCTTGCTCCATCCAAGATACTAGGGGCAAATAGTGGTGATGCACGCCATCCTTAAGAACATCAGGGATGTGGGTTGTGGTCCCCAACATGTCTCCATTTAATTGGTCACTCCGGCCTGACATGGGCCCTGAGGATGACTGTGGGCTGTGGCAAGGTCTACCAAGTCATAGCCTCAACTACGGCTGTTGTGTCATATGCGCTCTTTGCTAGAGTGAATGACACACATCTGCACATGGTATGTGGCCATTGGTTTAGATGTGCATCCCTTTCTAGCCCTGTCAGAAAGGGGAATCTGAAACTGTTCTCATTCATGTGGGAGTCAAAAGTATACATTCTTGCTCCTCTAGAACCTTCCCTCCTTCTCTAAGAATGGAGTAGAGGGACCTGGACTTTTGGGCCATGCAACATGGTCATCACATTGGTCCATCTTATTGCTCACATTGTGTTATTCAGACTCTATGAGCAAACAACAGCTAATGCATTGTTCAGACCTATGAGTTGTACTTTCTGAGGCTACCCCAGTGTGGGGGTGGGGAGCGGTTATGGCCTGATGGTGCTGGAAAGACTCCCCACCTGTTTTTGCTGGCATGAGTGGAGTCAGTTTTTTCTATGGTATCTGGTTGGAGTCGAGTGATTCCTGTCTAAAAGTTTCTGCCGTTCTAGAATGATCTATTCATGGTCTTTGGCTAAAGAGAACAGACTTTTTTGGGGGGTTTTCTTCCCCATCTATGCCTATTTGTGCTTCCAGGTTGCCAGTTCCTTTAGCTGCAAGTCTGGGACATATGGGGGGAGACAGAAGAAAATCGAGAGCCCACCACTGTGTCTTTCCTCAGGTCCCATGGCCTCTAGCTGGACAGCCACCTTTTCTCCACCTTACAGAGTCTTAGGTTTTTTAAATGTATATATAATTTCCGGAGTTTTCAGTTGTACTTAATGGGAGGAATAGGGAAAAGGAATATTCCATCTGCTGGAAAGTGGAAGTCCGGAAGCGTTTGACCCACAGAAATGAGACCTCCCACCACATAACATTGGATCAAGGGATCCACTTTATAGCAGGGGACATGCGGAAGTGGGCCCATGACCCTGGTATTCACTGGTTCTTCGCAGAACGGAACGTGCAGAAAATGCCATCCTGAGAGAGCCATGGAATGCCCTCTGGAAGGCACAGCTGCGGTGCTGGGCTGGGGGTGATACCAGGTGAGGACGGGTGTCATCCTCCTGGATAGAGTGTACATTCCCTATCATCAGTCATTATACGGTACAGTGTTCCCAGCAAACATGGGGTAAAAATAAGGGAGGTCCTACTTATCATTGCTCCGGGTGGTCCACTTTGGAAATGTGTGCGTCCTGTTCCATGATGCTGGGCTCTGTAGGTCTAGAGGTCTTGGCTCCCGGAGGGGAAATGTGTCTACCCATCACCTTGGGTTTCTCATGCTGAGAGACCAGCAGGAAAAGACCCTGATCATTAGAAGGAAGGGAATCTGCTATTACACTGGAGATAGAGAAGAACTCCTCATTGTCAACCACTCCACAGAGGGGTGGGGTGAAAGCAGAGTCACTAATTTGGAGAGCGGATATTTGAGTTCTTCACTCTCTTGACTTCCATTACCCTGTACGGTTGTCCTAGTTTCTGTTGTCCTAACTCATCTTGACACCCAGTCTTACCTCTGTGGCCCAAAGAGTCCGTGTGATGCGGTCTCTAGGCCCCACACTTCTGGAGATGTTGCCTGTGATGACAGGATACTTCCCTGCTGCGGCCTCAGCCATCAAGGCCTTTTGTGGTCAAGCTCTCCTGTCTGCAGAAAGCAGGCTGGGGGGCGTAGGATGGAGTTGCTAGGAAGATTTACCCCTCCTCATTCCTCATTTCTGCCCTGGAGGGCTTTCTCTTTGTCTCGCCCTCTTCTTAAAAGATAACGGACACTTGTCCCAGATAGGGCATGGAAGCTCTGGGCAATTTTGTTTCTAGTCCAAGGGCCTGGTTGGCCAGGGAACACATTCAGTTTTAATTTTCACTCCCCAGTGCAGCATTTACCAGTTTCCAAATTGGCCCAGTTTGGCCAATTTCAAGCTGCTGCAACGTCACTAATCTCAGAGATGGAGGAGATATGCTGTATTAGCTCTTGAAAGCTGGTACAAGCTGGCTCCAGAGCACCCCCAACCTGTTCCTACATTCAGACTTCTTTCTGGAAACTGTCTCGTTTCTCCTAATTTACTCCCCCCAGAGTTTATCAACAGATCTGGCTTGAGAAGTAAGCTTGGCACAAAGGATGGATGAAAGAAGTATGCTTGGCACAAAGGATGGATGAATGGATGAAAGAATGAATGAAATCCTTGCTGCTTGCTCTACCATCCTTGTGTGCCCAGCATGAGGCAGATAGGACTCACTGGAGAAAAACGAGTTGGTTTGAAAGGCTCTCTGCACATAGAAAGGGCACCACACTTGAAGTCAGAAAGTCATAGGTTCAGGACCTGGCTCTGTCACGTAGTATCTATTTCACTGAGGCCAAGACCCTTAATGGCTTTGAACTTCATTTGGATCATCTGCAAAATGAGGCTGAAAAGACCCTGCTTATCACACAGGGCTATTGTGAGGATGGAACGAAATAATGTACAGTAAGAACTCCAAAGTGCCATTTTATTGGTATCACTGCACAGCAAAATCAGGAATTTGAAAACAGCTATGAGTCGGTTGGTAAGAAGATTCATCAGAAAGTAAAGCTTAGTAAACGTTACTAGAAACGCAGGGTAGTGAGGCTAGGCATGGGGTCAGACAGACGTGGGTTTGAAAACAGTCTTGACCACTTATTTGCTCTGTGACTTGAGGAAATCTCATCAAAAAGGGGGATATAATAATACCTACTTGGTAGGGTTATTACAGGAATTAGAATTAGTACATCAGTCAAAATAGGCTAATTATGCTCAGTAGCAAAGAGCGTTCCAGTCTCTAGGAGTTCCAACGACAAAGGTTGATTGTTGTTTCCCACTAGTAATACATGTTCACTGTGTTCCCTGGGGGTGGGGGAGGGTCTGCTCTGCATGGTTTCAGGCTGGGGTGGGGGGAACACTGTCAGCTGCCTCGGCAGAGGGAGAGAGGGCCTTCCACCAGCACGGAAGTGACGTCATTTCTACTTAGATCTTATATGCTATTGGCCAGAACTGGGCATGTGGCCCCACTAACCCCAACCTGGTTGGGGTCTACAGTCCTCCTTGAAACACGGCCTGAAACATTGAGAGACAACGTCCATGATGACGTTGGCACGGAATGCCCACCCAAAGATTCCTTGTCTCCCCTCCCTAGAAATTGAGGAATAAGATGAATTCAACCAACGGGCTTGAAATTTACTTGATCAGCACACACTGAGTAACTACTTAAATCTTCCCTTTGCAGTTTTATAGGTGTAGGAGACAGAGGAAAAAAACCTACTAGTTTAAAAATGGGCCCCAGAGTCACTTTAGAAAAAGAAGTGTATTTTATTCAACAAAATGCCCAGAAAACCATTTTGTTGTGGAAAAATAGCCCCCAAGCAGGGTGGCTGGGCTAGGACATCAAGCTAAATTACTGTACATATTAAAGAGACAAGAATTTATAGTTTCTTGAAGTAGCCTGGGATGCTTTCTAGAAAAGAGATTCAAATATTCAATTTAAAACCATCTGCTGTGGGGTGCCTGGGTGGCTCAGTCGGTTAAGCGACTGCCTTCAGCTCAGGTCATGATCCCACGGTCCTGGGATCGAGTCCCACATCGGACTCCTTGCTCCGCAGGAAGCCTGCTTCTCCCTCTCTCTCTCTCGCTGTGTCTCTCTCTGTCAAATAAATAAATAAAATCTTTAAAAAAAAATTAAAAAAAAAATAAAACCATCTGCTGTGGTACACAGCGGTCTAGCTCCACCCTCAAACCTTCAGCAAAACCCTGCCACACTCTGGGTAAGTAGTGTTCGTTGGGGGCGGGGTGGATTAAGAAAAACCGTCTGCCCAGTTAATTCAGGACAAAAAGAAGAGAAAGCTTCTGGAGATATCAAGAGTTTAGCAGAAAACTATTATGAGAAACAACCCTCCCCCTGCCCAAGAGTCCTCAGTTATTCTGCGGGGAAATGCAATGAATTCCCCAACCCAGCATATGAGATATTTTGATTTAAATATTAAAGGGAAAAGTGGTCCTACTAAGCCAAAGAATATGGAGGCTCTCCAGGCTGCTGCTAACAGATATTTAAAAAGAGAAGAATAGGGGCGCCTGGGGGCCTCAGTCAGTTAAGCATCTGCCTTCGGCTCAGGTCATGGTCCCAGGGTCCTGGGATCAAGCCCCACATCGTGCTCCTTGCTCAGCAGGGAGCCGGCTTCTCCCTCTCCCACTCCCCCTGCTCGTGTTCCCTCTCTCACTCTGTCAAATAAATAAATAAAATCTTTTAAAAAATAAATAAATAAATAAAAAGAGAAGAGTAGAGGCCTCCAGCGGTGCTAGGTGTCTTTAAGGATGTCATGGGTCAACATTTAAAAAGTCATAGTTGAAGGAGATTTCTTGGAGAAATGTCAGCCTCTTATTAAGAAAGACCCGGCACGTAAAGCAGTGAAACGAGTCCCCCGCAGGCTCTCTAAGTTGGAGCAGGTTGGGCATGTTTCCGGCTGGGCATGTGCTCTTTGCCCCAAGCGCCCTCAGCGCTCCTGGGAATTCCTCAATAACCCACGGCCCCTTCAGGACTTCAGAGCCGGCGAGGTGAAAGGGCATTTCTTTACCTCTACACGCCACGTAATTGCCTCCTGTCAAAGAGAAAATTAAGTTTCTTGAAATCCAAGTAGAACTTGGGGGCATGAAAAGCTTTGGTGTGACACAGGTGGGCGGGATGGCCTGTTTGTAGAATCCAGAACTCGGTTCTGTGAAGAGGGTACCGTGAAATACAGACTTGAGGAACTCTTCCTGAGGTGTTTTTGTTGGTGGTGCTGGTGATGTTTTGAGAGGGGACTCACTTAAAATTGTTGTTAACATTTCAATTTTTAAAAATGTTTGCCTGAGTTTACGCATGAAGTACTGAGAGAATTTACTGAGAGTTAAAGCAGGTTGGTTGTTGGTGGAAGACTCACCCCGTAGATGCCCTCCAGGGGGAAATGGCCAGCTTTGCCTCCCCGTCAGAACTTCAAGGCCTGGCCAGAGATTCAGCCTCCTTAAGTACTTTTCTTTTTACTTTCAATAAGGAGTCATTTAGACTTCTTATTTGTTCTAAATAATCCTTAAAAAGAAAAAAAAAACCCAACTTAAGTTATTGTCAATGGTTAAAGGAAAATTTTCTTCTACTCACAACACTTCTAATTGCAAGTATGTGGGGGGTTTTTTCACATCAACCAATTCTCCAACTCTCCAGGCCCCGACTGGGCATCCTGCAATTCAATCCTGACACCAACTATGCAGAGTTAGTGTAGGCCCCACAAGTTAGGGGCTCCGTCCCACAAGGTTTCCCCCACTTCAGACACTAATCACAAGTAGTGGGTCTCCCCCAGGATACCCACACTTCTGTCCAATGTGGCTACAAGTCAATGGTTACCATGACCCTCTCCTCAAGTTCAATAATTTGCTATTGCAGCTCACAGAACTAAAGGAAATACTTAGGTTTACTGGTTTATTATAAAAGATATAGGGGCACTTGGGTGGCTCAGTCAGTTAAGCGTCTGCCTTTGGCTCAGGTCATGATTCCAGGGTTGTGGGATCAAGCCCCACGTTGGGCTCCCTGCTCCGCGGAGAGTCTTTCTCCCTCTTCCCCTCCACCTGTTTGTGCTCTTTCTCAAATAAATAAATAAAATCTTAAAAAAAAGATATAATAAAGAATAGAGATGAATAACCAGGTGAAAGGTACATAGAGTGAGGTCCAGGAGGGTCCCAAGCACACACACTTCTGTCCCCATGGGGTTTTGGGCGCGTCTGGATTATGGATGCTTCTACCATCCTGGAAGCTCTCCAAACCCAGTTTAGGGTTTTTACGGAGGTTTCATTACATAGGCCTCATTGATTACATCATTGGCCTTGGGTGATTAACTCAATCTCCTGCCCGACTCCCCTCCCCAGAGGTCAGTGGGTGGAGGAGTCCGGTCTACGATCAAATATTGTAACAAAGATGCTCCCATCACTCAGGAACTTACAAGGGTTTTAGAAGGTCTGTGCCAGGAACTCGGGGCAGAAACCAAATATGTATTTCTCATTTATGTCACAGTGGTCAAGAAAGTCTGACAGGGAGAAAATAAAGTGAAGAGGAAAATAATCACAGGCTTCCTACTCAACCCTCAGAGACGCAAGGACCATGGAAACGGCAGAGCGGGCTTTCTCCCTGGTCATCCCGGACCTCGGGAGGAGAGGCGGGGCCTCTGTCTCCAGCGCAGAGCCGGATGTCAGGTCCTCAGGGACAGCAGCTCTGGGCACAGCACCTAACTGAGGCTGTCCCGACACCCCTTCCAATCAGCTACTCTGGTACCTGGGAGTGCCTTGCGGAAAATGGGTTGTCTGTGGTCTACACACGAAATGCTAGGCTTTGGGCGGGGTCCTTAACCCCTACGGCCCTCAGTTTCCTCCGCGATAAAATGCGGCTGATAAAAAGAAACCCTCAACCAAGAAACCTGGGGGCAGGTGTGTCCCAGAATTCAGTTTTTCAGATCTGAGAACGGTAACAAGGGGCCCCTAAGTGTCTGTGTTTTGTATTATACAACGCCTCAGAGCAGGGTCTGCCGAAGTCCCCCCTCAACAAAATACCCTGTGAGAGCCCCTGAAGGACTGAGAATGTTCACGGAAGCCCTCTTCTCCTCGTCCTCCTCAGCGGGTCCTTCCAGACCTCAGCCCCCGACTGCTCCTTCTCACCCCTCCCGATGAAATCCAAATTCTTCCATCCTGGCTGCAGACAAGCAGGAAGAATTCCTCCCCACTCCAAGACCCACGTTTAACCACCTGCTCCCCCGGGGGGAAGGACTGATCCTCCCGCTAAATCCTTATTACACAGTCCCCTCCTTCCCCAAGGCAGAACACTCCTTTAGGGGCCTCTCAAGCCTGGCGTTCTAGAATAAAGGCTTATTTTGCTTTTGGTGCTCTAGGTGCTTCTCTTCCACAACATTTGGAATTTTATAGTGAAACACAGGCACGTGCACAGGAAGCGGAGTGGACACAAACTGTAAGGAAACTCCCCCAGGTTAAGGTTTGCTGCCAAATGACTTACAAAAACTTGTTTTCAGAGCTTTTTGGATTTTGGAAATAGGATATGAGCTTTGAGGACCCGTATTATATATCAACAGATGTGGAGATTAAATGAGATAGTCCAGGGAAGTGTTTAAAACAGTGCTGGGCACATGGAGCTTAGTAACTATTTGCCACGTGGATCATACTGAGAGGGTTGTGGAACTAAGGGACTGTCGCTATGGGAGCTCAGACCCACAGGTGTGCAGAGTGATCAGAGTTTAGAGCAACACTGTGGGAGAAGGCATCCTCTCATCCCTGCACCCTGAGAAACTATGGGGGGAGGGCATGTTCCAGCCATACCTGCACTCCTGCCCCTGGCTGCCCATTTGCAATAGAGAGCCTACGGTCCTCGGCAGCTCAGATCAAAGCTCCGAATGCAGACTGTCCATAGAGGGCTCTGCTTTCCCAGTAGTTAAATTATTTATTTTTGCACAAGGCAATAGTAACAGGATCAGCTCCATAGCCTGAAGAGTGTCCAGAATTCTTGGGCTTTTCACGGTAGGGGTGGGAGGACAGATGGACTCAAAGATGGATGGAGTATGTTCCTGTGATAGGCTTTAAGATGTGATCTTAAATCATACTCTAAGCTGTACACACTACAGAAGTATACCCAGCCAACAATATTTTAAATATTGCCCATAATTTAATCACCCATTTATTCATTCATCCAGCCATCGATGCCTGAGCACCTGCTATAGACCAGGCATTGTCTGTGCCCAGGGGTATTCGGGACTGAACAACACAGATAAGGTCCTCGCTATGGTCTGAATATTTATGTCCCCCCCCTCCCCCAGATTCACATCTTGGAATCCTAACACCCGAAGTGATGGTGTTAGAAGGCAGGGCCTTTGGGAGGTGATTAGGTCGGGATTCGTGCTTTTATAAAAGAGATCCCCAGAGCACCCTTGTCCCTTGCACCACATGAGGATACCGGAAGTCTTTGACCCAGCAGAGGGCCCTTACCCGACCATCCTGGCACCCTCCTCTTGGACTTCCGGGCTCCATAACTGTGAGCTATAAACTTCTGTTGGTTTTTAGCCACCCAGGCTGCAATATTTTGTTACAGCAGCCCGGACAGACTAAGTTAGTCCTCTTCTCACGGAGTTTCCATTTTTAGCGAAGAGGGTGGACAAACATAATTATTCGCCGTGGTGAGTGCTAGGAAGAAAATAAAGCAGGGTCACAGAGCCAGAGTGACTGCAAGTGACTGTTCTGCAAGGGGGTGGGCCAGGGAGAGTCTCTCTTCATGAAGTTATCCTTAAGGGTTGAGGAGGCTGAGAAGGAGCTGGCTCGCGAAGAGCTCAGAGAAGTGAGCTCCCAGAGTTAGGAAAACAGGTGGAAGGCCCCGGAGGAGGCAAGGTCTGAGGTGTTGGGGAATGACGAGGAGACATGTGGCTGGCGCAGGGGGTGAGCAGAGGAGCTGTGCTTTGAGAGGTCAGCAGGGAGCAGCCCAAGTAGGGCTTGCAGGCACGCAAAGGATGACGGACATTCAGGGTAACGACCAGCCACTGGAGGCTGTGAGGAAAGAAATAATATGCTCTGATTATAATTACTTAAGGAGCATGAGAATTGTGTTGTTGTTGTTGTTGTTGTGTTTTTGAAGTAATCTCTACCACTGTGGGGCTCAAACCTCTAACCCTGAGATCGAGAGTCACAAGCTCTGTCGACTGAGCCAGCCAGGTGCCTGAGAATTGTTTTTTTATAGTGTGTTCTGGTCTCTGATTTTTCACACATCCCTAGTGGCATCTATAAGGCAAAGCCTTTACATTTTCTTTTTTTTATTATTTACCTTTTTTTTTTTTAGAGAGAGAGAGAGGGTGTGCACACGCATGAGTGGTAGGGGGTAGGGGCAGAAGGACAGGGAGAGAGAGAATATTCAGCAGGCTCCACACTCAGTACAGAGCCCAAGACAGGGCTCGATCTCACCACCCTGAGATCATGCCCTGAGCCGAAATCAAGAGTCAGATGCTTAACCGACTGAGCCACCCAGGCATCTCTATAAGGCGAAGGCTTTAAAGGACTTGTAATTCATTCTAGTTACTGTAGCTGGTGTTCTAGTAGTCGCCTGGTTACTAACAGTACCTTCTGTCACAATTTAACCTCCAAAATCAAATCATCCCTGTCTATCTCAAAGCCTGGGATTGTTCAAAACAAAAGACATGACCTCATAAATATAGCTTTTTCTATGGTGCAAACGCCCCTTACATTAAAAATAGAAATATTTATCAAACACTCGTTTAGTAATGATGCGTGCGAAGACCTAAAGCACCTCCTATACGAGCCACATAATGTCCTGACAATTCAACTCTGTCTGTCACTACTTAGCTCTCATTTTCCTTCTTGCTTTTGGGAAAAACTATTAATAGCCCCGCCTTCCCTACCTCCCCCACACCTCTCCACGCCACTCAGCCACTTTCTTGATAAGTGAGGATCTTGCCATCAAGCCTAAGACTCTTGGAGGTTGTAGAGAAGCAACACAGGGATTCAGTCCAGTTGTTGCACTTGAAGACCTTGACCAAAGCCAGCTTCTCGATCACCTCAAACATAGTCTCTAGCTAGCTAGCTCATGGTTTTCCCTTTTGTCCGATGACAGCTTCACCTATTGAAGTAGCTTCTGTTTGTCCAGCAGACAGACATGCCTGGGTCACGTTAACAATAACACGCTGGAGGAGGTCCTCACCTCCACTCATGACGGCGGGACCTGCAACTCCTCCAAGCCTTCCCATCACCGAGGAGTCTCACAGGGGCTCACAGATGAGCTCACCCTCCACTGCTGAGGCCACCACTACCCACAGAGGCATGAGGGCCCTTCCTCTGTTGTCGGAGCCTTTAGTCGAGCCACTTCTGGGGACACTGTGGAGCCAGATGCTGCAGATCTGTGCCAGGCACCGTCAGGGCGGGGGCTCCACGGTGGCCAAACATTGCTGCCACCACAGGCACTTTCAGTGTATGTAGTTGAGGGTATTTTAGTCTCTCCTTCCCCTTTCCGCCATGTTCCATTTCTAGACGAAGGCATGAGACCGGGGGAGGGTATAGAGAGGGGCTGGAGGATGAACGCACATTGCGGATGCTTTTCTGAGGCCATCCTGGCTGTATTTGTAACTGAACGCCGCCGTCGTGTGACTGCAACAACCCTGTGTGCTTCTCCGGCCCACTCACGTTCTGTGTCAGTCCCCTCCCCTCGAGTGATAGGGTGTCGCTCTGAGAGTCTAGCGAAGCCATAGAGAGACTCTGGTTTCCATCCTGCTGGCTCTCTCTCTCTCTCTCTCTCTCTTGCTCAACCACTTGCTTCAAACCAGCTGCTGGGATGTGAGCTGCCCTATGGAGAGGCCATGGGGCAAGGAGTGGGGGGAGGCTTGCAACCAGCATCCAGCAAGAAACCGAGGCCCTCAGTCCAGAACGCACCAGGGACTGCATCCTACTGGCGAGTGAGCTTAGCAGTGGACCTGGTCCCAGCGGAGCCTGGAGGTGACTCCAGTCCTTGGCACCAATGTGCCCATCGCCCACCGTTGGTTCTTCACACTCCCTTCATCTTACGACTGCTTTTCCCAACACACAATATCTTTCCTGCGTACATTCTACTTCCTCAGTGCAGAACTCTCCCTTTCCTCCTCTCCCCCAACTTTCTCATTGTCTGCCAAGCTTCTATTTATCCTTCAAGTTTCACCTCAAGAATTGCCCCTGATATGAAGCCTTCCTGGGCTCCTTCCTCCGTATTCCCTTGGCCCCTGGAGGAGTCATCCACGCAGCACTATGGTAGTGACCCAGACACATGACAAGGGCAGCATCGTGTGAGAGGGGGAGCACACAGTGGGGGTTCCTGACCACGGTCAAACCCAGAGAAGAGAACGAATTCCTGGTGGGCCCATGGGGGATGGAGAGCAGCTCAGCCTGTTCAAATAAAGACAGAAAGTCCAGATGAGACCAGCAGGATCTGGATGGTGGATCCAGCCCCTCCTGGCTAAGGGTTTTCCCCGATACTCCAATGAGGAGGGTTTGCTAATTAAGAGCTGAAGCACCTGATGTTATTCTCGAGCATCTCCATTTAGTCAACCTCACTTCCTACTGTTGATTTTAGAAGGCTCTATGTGCAAAGAATTCCAATGGATATTATTAATTCAGTCAGGCAGCCATTCAGTAAATATTTATTGAGTGCCTACTCTGTGCATTGGGAATGCAGGGGTGGATAAGATAAACAACATTCCTGCTCTCCTGGAGTTTGGGCTCTAGCAGGGGAGACCATTAAACAAGTAACTATATAAATAGATACAGTTCCTACAGTGTGATAATTGCTATGAAAGAAATGAATAGTGTTGCCCACTGCAGAGTAAGTGAAGAAGGCCCCTCAGAAACAGTGGTCAAGGAGGCACCTCTGGGGAGTGCATCTGAGCGGAGATCTGGATGGCAGTGACGTAGCCATGCCCATAGTTGAGGAAGAGCATGCGAGGCATAGGGAATAGTGAGTGCAAAGACAGACACCGAGGAGGGGGTTTGTAGACCTCATTCTTAAGCTCAAGTGCATGGAGACCAACTTCCAGGCACCTGTTTTGCAATGGAGCTATACAGGGCCGATTGTTATTTTGTATACCAGCAACAGGTGGTATGGCAATAAACAAAAGATGTCTTTTTTGTCCTCTTGCAAAAAGTGTCATTGTGAAACTTACTAAAGGCCCATATTTTGCATGTTAATAGATTAAAGAGTCAACAGAGGTGTCAGATATCATCTAATCTAACTTCTCATTTCAGGTGAGAAAACTGAGCCCCAACAAGGTGAAATGGAAGTCCTGTGGTCCAAGGCTTGCCAGTGGCAGGGCTGAGATTAGAACTCCAAATGTGAAATTATGTACACTCTTTCCTTAACAGGTTAAGGCAGTTACTCAAATTATTTGTATTTCTTTTGAAAATTATAAACCTGATCTTCCTCCTCTTAAATTTCTCCCTCTTTAGTTTTCCTTCTAGCTTGAAGCTCTTCCAAATCCAGTTGTTAAAAAGGAAACCAACTTTGATTAAGGGTTGCTCACACTCTTCTTATTTGAATGTGAAAGCAGGGACTGTAACACCCTTTGGCTACCAGAGGGAACTGAAAACACCTATTCAGAGTAAATAGTCTTCTTTCTGTACACAAGTTCTCACCGAGTAGCCTGAGAATCTTCTCGGCTGAATATGGCTGAGTTTGAGACAGAAAGCAGAGGCAGGACTTTGGCTTGCACACCTGTTGCCCACACCTGCTCACGTGATTGGCCCACAGCAGCTGAGTGAAATTACTTCATCTCTATTGAACTCAGCCACAGAGGGCCAGGTAGCTGCCAGAGCCGGATTTTCAAAGCTGACAAATGCCTGCAAAGCACCACCACGCAGCATTTATAACAATTAGGGTGGGGATATGAGGCCCGGCCAAAAAGAGTAGGATTCGCTCGGAGGAGATGTGACCAGAGCTTACAGGTATAAGAGGGGCGTGGGGGGATGGTTTAGCCTGGTGATGGGTATTAAAGAGGGCACGTTCTGCATGGAGCACTGGGTGTTATACACAAACAATGAATCATGGAACACTACATCAAAAACTGATGATGTAATGTATGGTGACTAACATAACATAAAAAAAAGAATGTAGGTCAGGTGGTCTGAGGTCATTTACCAATTCCGATAATATTATAATGAGAAGGTACACCTGAAAGAATGGGTCGGATGGGAGTGAGGTAGCCATGCCCACAGCTGAGGGAAGAGCATGTGGGGCACAGGGAACAGTGCCCAAAATACTCCTCCTGGAAGAAGATTCTTAGCAGGAGCGAAAGGAAATGCTATTTACATGGCGTGAGAGGGTCACTAAGGGTGAGAAATGTGTGAAACCACAGACCCCTCCGATGACTTCAGGTCCCAAACTGGTTTCAGTAAGTTCAAATTTGTGCATGGGATACTAAGGGTAGACTAGCAATCCCTTAGTGTCTCTGAGTAAGAGACTCTGGGCCAGGGGCAGCTTATAAAGTCTTAAACTTTGGGGCTTCTGTCCTTTACCACCAGGACCCTGGCTGCTCTTCGGTGCGGATAGTGAAGCAAACAAAAAAGGGGAGCATATACAGAAAGTGCAGCATTTCTTCTCACACGCCAAATATCCGTATCCAAAGGTATTTTAAAAAGGTGTGCGTGTGAAGACGCCAGTCTTCTCCAAACAGGATGACGTAGGCAAGTTTCCTAATTTCTCTGAGCCTCCGTTTTCCCAACTGCCAAACAAAGCAAACTTCACATTTAGGACAATTTCACGGTCCTTAAAGATCCCCACCGGGAGGGGCGCCTGGGGCTCAGCCGGGTAAGCGTCTGAT